TTCTAGCTAGAAAACTAATTATCCGCCTAGGCTCCACCTATACTCCTGCATATACGGTTAGATGCTACACCTCCTTTTGCCGCCTAGAAAACGCCTAACGCGTTTTAGAACATTGCATTTAACTAATTATTTTTGTTTGGAGGAGTCCATTAGCCATTTCTTTCAGCTTAAGTTGACAACACCCATTTTGTAGGCTCAATACTTTTAGTTTGCAACTACACCATCTTTTTTGTTTGACACCCTACACCGTCATAATTGTTATTATTTTTGATTTTTTTTTTATAACAGAAGAATTTGGCGAAATTGCGGAATCTGACAAAATTATTGATGACATTTTACGAAATCTAACGGAATATCGTTGAATTCAAATGGTAACAACTGAATCTTACGGAATGTAGCAGAATTTTTTAATATAAATAAATTAATTAAAGTTATGAAAATATTAATTGAAATTGTATTTTTCAAAATTAAATATTCATGTTTATAATTGTATTAAATTTTATAAAAATAAAATTTTTATTGAATTATCTCCTACACCCAATTTATTTCATCAATATTTGTTTCCTGATCTAAAAATCATTATAAAGAAAATTTTAATTAACTTTTTAACCAAGTAATTTTGTTTTCGTCAAACGTCAAACGTTCAATTTCATTAAAATCAATTTTCAAGTATTTTTAGTGCTTAAGGAATCGACATTTTCTAAATTTTTAGTGTTATTGTAGATATGAATTTAAGATGTATGCCTTTATAAAAACATTTTCTTTGTTAAAATAACTTTTATTTATAAGGTCATCATCGAGCAAATGCATACAAGCTTGGTGTAAACATGTCACATCATTTGGGCGGTGACAATCACACTTCAAATATATAAACATTTTCGTACATATTTATTCTAGTCAATTCCTCCATAAGGCCGTGTCTACCATGCAATTAAAAAAACATTTGCTTTGAATCTCGGAAGATATATATAATTTTAAAAACTCCATATTTTAAAGATTAATTTAGTATAATGGTAAAAGTATGATAATATAAATTTTTGAGATTCTCATCCTAAGTTCAAAATCACTTTGATGCAAAAACAAGAGTATTTTTTATCTAATTAATTTTTATATACTCTCTACC